AAAAAATAAAAACATGACCCGCCCCGCTCCAATAACCCTCAGGGTCTTGAATAGTCGAATTCATACCCGTATCCACCGAATCAACGAATACCCGACCCATTAACCCGACTCTTATATAATATTAAATTTTCATAATTTTTATGTGTTCCACAAAGTAATATTTCTCAAAAAAATAAAATGTCTACTTAAACAAGATGTACATTAACTAATACTCAAAGTCCTATACAATAAAAATCATATTTTACTTAGACATCGAATAGTATATTTTGTTGTCATATATATATATATATATATATATATATATATATATATCTATATATATATATATATATATATATATATATATATCTATATTATATATTATATAATGGGGCGGGTTATAAGTGGAGCGGATCGACAATGATCCATACCCGACCCATTTATTAAAAGGGTAAACGGGTATGGATCGTAAACGGGTAAACGAATCGAAAATTACAATCCAAACCCATAAATTTTTTACGGGTTTGGAGCGAATCAGGGTCAAAACCCGCCCCATTGACAGGTCTAGGTGTAAGGGGAGGCATAATTATTTTTTTCATGTAAAGATGTTGTATATAATAATATTTTATTTTGTAAATATGCAATCAATATGGTAAAAAAAACTAATAAATTGGTAGCGAATTCAACATGATTGTAGAAATTGATTACAAAATTAATTTGATATAAAATTAGTAAAATAAAATATAGTAACTAGTTGCATAATTTAGTGTTTTACAAAAAAGAAAAATCCATAACACTGAATTATACAAAACAAATAAAAATTAATTTTAATGGTTTATTTGGACGAATGGAATAAAACAATAAAAACAAATTTATATTAACGAATGGTTTATTTTAACGAACAAGGTTGAGTTTTTTTTACCTTAAAAACATTATATGTGTAATGTTAGAGTCATGAAAAAAAATAATTAGGCCTCCCCTTTTTCTTGAACCGGTAATTTATATTAAATGCCCATTTTTGGTTGTTTAATGCAAACTATATAAAAGCAAATTCATTTAATTTTAAAGGAAAAAAATCATTATGTCCGATTGAATTATATAAACTTTCTACACGTGCTCTACACTTATTGATTTTCTACGAAAATATATTTCATTGTTTAATTTTATGAAAACTAAAATAAAAACATCTTCAAATTCGTATTATATAATATTAGAAAACTAAAGCATTACTCAATTGGGCTACTTAATCTTATGAAAGTGAATTTAGCTTTTCTTTTAAAAAAATTTATATACTATAAATAATAACGGATATTTAAAATTAAAAAGAAAATAAAAGAAATAAAAATGATAAAGAAAACTGTTAGTTAAAAAACAGTAAAAAAAACAAAAAAAACAAAAAAAAAACTGAATAAAAATTGTTATTTAACAAAAAGTAAAAAGGTGAAATAAAAGAGAAAAAAAATTAGATATTTAAAATAAAAAATATTAAGGAAAACTGAAAAATAAAGAAAAATGAAAAAAAAAATACTATTTTGGTAAATATTTTTGAAAACACACTAGAATGGTAATATTTTTTTTTCAATCACTCTGTTATCGTTAAAAACTCCCATTTAATATGGTAGAATTTTCTTTTGGCTTCAATTATCCGTACCCCTTTCCACTTAACCCTACCCTCTAATAATTACATTTTACTTTTTTTCTTTAAATAACTAATGATTACGTAATTATTATGTTTTTTTTAATTTTCTTTTAATATATACTAGTTTATTTATTTTTTATTAATCTTGTTTTTTTATTTAATTTATTTATTTACCTTTGTTTTTATGATTTAAAAATATTGTTTTTTGACATTTTGTTTGAAAACATTGATTAACGTAAAAAACATGTTTGACGTTTTGTTCTTTTATATTTTTTGACATTTTGTTTGAATATTAGTATACAATTTTAAATCCCCTCACGTTTAGGAATAATCATGTTTGGCTACTTCACAAATTGACCACGCATGTTGTTGTTTCATATTTTTGGCACAATTGTTTCATTTTTTTTTAATCTTTAACCTTTTGGTCAAATACATATTTTTAAGTTTTGTTTGTTTGTATTTATTCCAAAATTTTATTTTTAAAAATTATTCTTGTTTCAAACGACGAATTTAAAAAAAATATGACTTTTTGTTTTAAAAAGAATATATGACGTTTTGTTTGTTTGTATAACCAAAAAATCTTTAAACTTTTATCCTTTTTTGTATAGTTAAAAAAATCTTTAATATTTGTTGAACAACAGTTTTAAACAAAAAAATGTTTGACGTTTGAATATATTTTTAATGTTTTATTAGTTTATATTTATAATGTCGTCACGTCGTTATAAAAAAATCTAAAAAATCTAAAAAAATATATAATGTTTTAATTCTATTTAATAAAACATTTTATTAAAGTTATGTTATATAAAATATTATAAAGTATTTCTAATATTTTTTTTGATGTTTTTATTCATTTATTTTTTGACATTTTGTTCAAATAGCTTATTGTTATTATTTTTTAGCTATTTATTCTATTTTTAATCTTTTTTATAATCTGATTTTTTTAGCTTCGAATTTATTCTAATAAAATAAATAGTTATCAAAATCTTTAAAAAATCGGATGAATACTTTTGATAAAAAGTCATTATTAAGCGGATAGATATATCTTGATTTTTTAAAACTTATTTTTGTTTATGCATATATATAACTTCAAAACAGAAAAAAAATGTAAAAAGAAAACATTATTAGGTAACCGATTAAAACAAAATGTAAATGAAAATGATACTTATTTATCTTTGTTTGTGTAATCTAAAATATTTTTTTTAAAGAGCGGATTTTTAAGAAAAAAAATGTTTGAGATTTTGTTTTAAAAAAATGTTTGACGTTTTATGTAAAACATTAACATATTTATTTTTTTTAAAAATATTTTAAAAGATATAAATACATTTTAAAAAATGTGTTTATTTGTTATTAAGTATTTATATATATATTTGAAAGCCTATGTATTAAAAACGTATGCACATATAAAAAATATTTTTATTTGTGTTTAGTAGGTATAAATATATATGTATTTCGTATAAAAACATATTGTATACATATAAATATAAAAATACCAATTTATATGGCTTATATTGTATAAAAGACATAACTATGTGTATTTGTACATATTAGTAAGTATACATATATATTTATTTCATATTTATACGTATACGATATATATTTATACGTATTTATATGTATACGGTATGTATTTATACGTATTCATACAATACAAACCATAACAATAATAACATAACAACAAAAACAACAACAACAACAGCAACAACAACAACAATAATAATAAATTATTATTATTATTATTATTATTATTATTAATCTTTATAGGTTATATAGAACGATTTGATTTAAATTAACAAAATTGAGTTCCAGCTCAGTGGTAAAGTGCTCGAAACTAATGTGTGATGTTGCCCAGAGGTTCAGAGTTCGAATCTCCCTATTCACACTCGGAATTTTGAAGCTTTCCAGCTCACAGGCGCAAAAGAGCAAAATCGTATGCAGCAACCGGTTATTTCTTGAAAACTTTATCCAAATTTTCGGCATTAATGAACCTAATAATCATAAAAGGATAAAAACCGAATATTTCTTGAAAACTTAAGGGTTTTATGACATTAACCCAAAAAAATAATGATTGAGTTGTACGGAATATTATGTCTAGGTTTTTGTTATCTAACTAAAAAGTAATAATTGCAGGGGTAGGATTATAAGGAATTTCTTTTTACACCATCCTATTTCATCCCTACTACACACTACTCCACTCTACCTTGACCTATGACTTCCTCTTTGTTCACCTATCTAATATGAGAAAATTCGGGTAATAACCAAAAATAATAGGTGGTTTGAAGAAAATAACCAAGGAAAAACACATTTCAGAAAATGACCAAAGGATCCGCAGAGCACCCTCTGCGGATCTATTAAGTCCTCTTCGGATGTTGCTACACCTCTGCGGAATGTTGTTTTTTTAATTTTTTAATTTTTTTTTAATTTTTTTGCGTTAATTTTAGTTTATTAATATTAATTTTTTTTAAATACACTAATACATTATGTGATTATTATGTAAAAAATTTGAAAAAAAAGGTTTTTTTTCGTTTTTTTGCGTTAATTTTAGTTTATTAATATTAATCTTTTTTTAAAATACACTAATACAAGAGATGATGTAGTGACATGTCTAAGTCAAATTCCACGTGAGAAATGGACCAGAGCGTATTGCCCTACCACGAGGTATGATTATATGACCTCAAATAGTGCGGAGTCCATGAATGTTGTATCAAATAAAGCAAGGAATTTGCCTATATTACTACTTCTTGAGTTCTTTCGCGCACTTATGCAGAAATGGTTTTACAAACGGCGGATGGCTGCAGGTATGGTTATGTTTAATTTTAAATTATATGATAAATGTCATATATAATAATATATGTTTGTTTTAACAGAAAAAAGTACAACAATACTTACGAAGTGGGCTGAATATATGGTTAAAAAAATAAAGAGGGGATTCAAGGATGGTCGGTATCCGGTGTTGACAATACAACATATCAAGTGCATGACTTCAAAAGCGGCGATATAGTGAATTTGAGGGAAAAGACTTGTTCTTGTAGATATTGGCAACTAACTGGTTTGCCATGTGGTCATGTGATAATGGTTTTAACGCACTTGAAAAATGATCATTGTGGGCATATGGCTATAGATGCTTATAAATTTGAAACATATCGAAGAACGTACGAGCATGCCGTATACCCTCTTTCAGAACTTAGTGATTGGGAGGTTCCAGATGACCTTATGGTTGTTAACCCTCCTGTGATGGAAATACGTCAATCCGGTAGACCAAAAAACACCAATCGTATTCCATCTCAAGGCGAGGAACCAAAAATAAGAAGGTGTACTAGATGCCATAACACAACTCATAATGCAAGGACGTGTAAGGAAATCGTTCCAAAGAACCAAAGTAAAACTAAAAAACGTACCGGGGCGTTAGGGAGTGGGAAAAAAGGGACAGAAGAGGAACCGATGCAAGCGACCGAAAACCAATGGACGCAGCATACCGAACAACAATGGCAACAGCAGCCAGACAACCAATAGACATAACAGACCGAACATCAATGGCAGCAGCATCCAGACAACCAATGGACACAACAGACCGAATATCAATGGTAGCAGGAGCCACATAACCAATGGACGCAAGAGACCGAATACCAACCGCAGGAAGAGCCACATAACCAATGGCAGGGTTGCACCGAGTACCAATGGCAGCAAGAGCCAGATAACCAATGGACTCAAGAGACAGTAAACCTAGGGACACACGCAACAGATAACCCATGGACGGAATACGAAAACAGATCAATGTTTCCCTGGTTCGATTTGAATGAATGAAGTTTATTTCAAAGTATGTTTATTATGAAGGTTGTATGTTTATGTTTTCTAATGTATGTTTTGTAACCTATAAAAAACATGGAATATTTGTATAATTTTAATTAGGTTATTTATATGCACCGGTTTGTATTACATTATTTATATGTATTTGGTTTGTATTAGTGTATTTTAAAAAAAATTAATATTAATAAACTAAAATTAACGCAAAAAAACGAAAAAAAAACCTTTTTTGTCAAATTTTTTACATAATGTATTAGTGTATTTAAAAAAATTAAACTAAAATTAACGCAAAAAATGAAAAAAAAAGTAAAAAAATAAAAAAAAACAACATTCCGCAGAGGTGTAGCTGATGAGTTTTGAGCACTACATCATTCCTATGGTGTACATGCAAACCCTAATAGCTTTTGGGATCTAGTTTGTCTAATGAACATGCAATTGAATATCCAAAGCTATAAACCCTAGATCTAGCATACAATTAATCATATTAACATAAAATAGGGTTTAGATCTAACCTTTGATTGTTATGTAGCAATAACATGATGGATTTTATACATACAATCCTATGTGTGCATGCAACCCTAGATTCGGATCTATGTTTTCACTATTAGTTATACAACTTTATGAACACAAAAGAACCCTAGCATGCATCTACTATTTTCGAAATTGACATAGGAGAATAGAATACATACCTTTTGTTGTTATGTAGTAATAACAACTAGTTCCTTGAGTTTCCTTAGCTCTTGAAAGCAAGTACCACAAGTGTAGTACCTCTAATGGCTCACAAACACACTTTGAGTGAGAAGATGAATATGAGAAAGAGGAGGAAGGGTACTAAGCTCCAAAATTCGGGCCTAGTAGGGTTTTCCCAAGGAGTGGTCAAATTCTAGTGCCTTAAGGTGCTATTTATACTTGAGGCTAGCTAGGGTTTCAAGGTGGAAACCCTAATCCCTTAGCTTAGGGCCTAAGCAAGTCCATGAACTCCTTTCCTTAAGCCCTTGGACGAAAACTCCTAGATCCTTCTAGGATTTTCGTTCAAGCCTTAATAAAGGTGATCCAATAGCCCAAAGTCTCAACTATCAAATAATTACAAAACAACCCCTGTTACTTTTAATTATTCTTTAATCCCGAAATTAATTCCTAATTAATTTCTGATTAAATACTAATTAATAATACGATTCCAAATTAATATATTATTCATATAATATATTAACAAATCATATTTATACCCCAATTTATTATTCTTAACAATAAACCGGCCTCTCTCCTCAACAGTCATCCTGTCTAGTCACCAGTGTGAAGGCAACCCAAAAGGACCATGCTCACAATCGGGTCAAGTACATACCAAAATAGTTATGGACTTAGACACTAATCCAACATAACAATCAATTCCTTGGCTTCAGAAAGCTTAGTGTCTCAAGTGTTGCACCTCTAATGGAGTCACAAACACCACTAAGCAACTAGATGAAGAAGAAAGAGAATGAGAACTCTAAAAACGTCCAGAAACCCTCTTGAAAAGGTTGGCCACGTTTTTGGGGCTCAAGGGGTTCTTTATATACTTAGGCTATTAGGGTTTTGAACTTAGGAAACCCTAATCTGACTGCTTAGGCCCTAAGCAGCCCATGGACCCCTTTAGAATATCCCTTGGACGAATTCCTAATGGGCCCATAGAATTCGTCCAACCTATTATTCTTAGGTGATCCATAGCCCAATTGTAATTATCTTATAATTACAACTCCAGTCCCCTAAGTTTAATTAATCTCTTTTAGCCACTAAATTAATTCTTAATTAATTCTTGACTAATATTAATTAAACAATATGATTTCTCATTTAATATATTATTCTCATAATATATTAATAAATCATAATTAAACCTTTCTCTTCTTAATTCATCCTACAAATTGCTATGGTGAAGGCAACCCTAAAGGACCATGCTCACAATCGGGTCAAGTACATACCAAAATAGTTATGGACTTAGACACTAATCCAACAGTTGCAACATCCGCAGAGGACTTAATAGATCCGCAGAAGGTGCTCTGCGGATCCTTTGGTCATTTTCTGAAATGTGTTTTTTCTTGGTTATTTTCTTCAAATCACATTTTACTTTTTGTTATTACCCAAATTTTCTCATCTAATATTACACAATAGAAGTCTATCTAATCTAATATCCATATACACGTCAGCCATCTACAAAAAACTAACGCACTACTTTTTCAAAACAAAAGGCTACGCGCCTCTTTTGGCTGTTAAGAAGCCACGCAGCATATAAACCTTTTTTTTTTTTTCAAACCCTCACGTATATGAAACTTTTAATTTAAAGCTTTCAATTTTATAATATATATATATATATATATATATATATTATTAAACCTTGACGTAAATTATTTTTATTTACTATAATCTTAATAATAAAGTATTTTCCAATAACTTCTATTTAATTTATATTATATTGAAGCAAAATAGAAATAAAATATTTTGTGATATCAACTAAGTTTTAATTAATATTTTGTGATATCACCGTTCATTGATTCTTTGTCCTTTCCAATTTTTTAATATATATTTTATTTTTATTTGTTTGTTACATATCCTTTTAATTACCAAAATACAAAATATCAACTTATTTAATAATATTAAATTTTAATTTGCAAAAAATAAAGGATCAATTTATTTAATAATATTAAATTAATTATCTAAATTATTTAAAATCATTATTTATTAATATTATAATTTATTATTTTATTTATATTTTTTTATTTAATTATTTTTTTAAATTTTCTTTCCGTTTTATTCGAATATGTAGATATAATGTTTTTTATTTATTTTTTGATGTTTTGTTTGTTTATTTTTTTTTTTTAACTTTTTGATTATCTTGTTCGTTTATATTATTTGATTTTAACTTTTTGACGTTTTTTCCGTTTATTCGAAACTCGCTCTTAACAAAATCAAATCATTTGAATTTGAAACTTTTTTTACAGCTCATGAATTATTTTTATAAAGTGTCTTTTTTTGTGTGAAAAAAATGTAACAAATATATGTTCAAACGTTGTAAAAAGTTTAAAGAAAAGTTGAAAAAGTAAAAAAAAACTATAAACAATATGACGGCGGTATCGGCGTATCGCCTGATGGTCCGGGGATTCAGTGGTCCAACGGCGGCAACTTGGTGGTTCGGTGGTCTGGCGAAGCGACGATGAAATATAACTTCTAATATTCGTTTTTAATGTTATAATTATTTGATGTACCAAATGCCTTCTATTTCAACGTTATCGCCGGCGAAATATTTAATCAACTTTTCAATATTTTTATTTTTTATTAATTTTTTTAATTGGTTTGTAATTATATATAAATTACAAAATCATAAATTAAACCCATAAATTCTTTGAGTATTTTTCAGTAAATATAAAAATGCATTGCAATGCATGTTGTAATTTACTATATGATGATTTAATGATTTAACGTGGTATATATAGTTTGTAAAATATAATAATTTTATATATTTGTTCTTTTTAACTTATTTAAAAAAAATAAGTTGAAATAAACTATTTATTTAATAACAAAAAGTAAATATAATTAATAATGGTAATTGGTAAAAAATATAATTCTTAAATAATAAAAGTAATAATAATAATATAATAATTAAATAATAAAATATTTAAAATAATTAGGTTGTAAGATATTTATTATTAAGCATAATGATTAGGTTAAATTATATGATAATAATGATAAAAAAAAGTAGCATAGAATAGAATTGAATGTAATATAGTATGTTAGTGTTGTAGATTAGTGTGTTTGTGTATATATAGGTTAGTGTTGTAGATTGGTGTGTCCAAAATAGGACCCTTATAAAATCCGGAACAGGTATAACAACACCCTTTTCTCGTTTAGGACAAATTGAAATGCATTTTAATCATGTAATGAGAACCCTTCAAAAAAACTAGTGACTTATTGAATACGATAAAATAAGTAACCTAAATACAATTAAAACTTAATGACCCCTAGATTTGAGAAATTGAAATGCACTTTAATGATGTAATAAGAACCCTGAAAAAAAAAAGAACCAGTGACCTATCAAATACGATTAAAATTAGTAACCTACCTAATACAATTAAAACTTAATGACCCCTGGATTTGAGATTTGAGGTGGGTGGGTTGCAATGTTGCATAATATCTCAATTGTTTTCAAACCCAACATGATATGAATATTAAGAACATGGTAAAATTATGGAACAAAGTTATAGATAGAATTAAAAATACTGTTGATCATTGAACTGATTGATTGTCGATAATATTGCTTATTTAACTCGTGTTCGTCATTATTTTGTAGTAACACTCTTTTCATCATAACTTATCTTCTAAAAACGGACCGACCAATTGCCCTTAAACACCCAAATTGACAACTTTAACAAGCAAGTGTCGCACATGGACATGGAAAGTTTTTGACTTGTCCTTTGAGGCTAAGAGTCGCACATTTATATCGTTATAATTAAAGATGGCTGAAATGAATAAAAATTAAATAATGAGAATAATAAGATATTAGGCTTCATATTTGATCATTTTTTATAAATGGCTAACACACACCCACTAAACCTTACTCATAAATTATTCATTGTATTCATCACGAGACATGAACTCTAAATCCTTTAGGAAAATGACACATTTTAATACATTGATACCGCTAGACCAAATGTCATTTTGTTACAATTGATCATCTAATATGTGGAAACCGGTGGTTTAAAATGGTTTCCCATGTCTCTAATAACAGTTGCAATGTTTTGTTTTTTATATCAAATAGTACAAAGCATAAAAGTGTGTGATAGTTGCAACTTCAACATGAAGTCACACAGAAACCTTAATTCGTTAAGTTTATTAAATGTTTTTGGTAAGATTGTATTTTTTTTGTTTGACAAAAATGGTGTTTGGGTATGAGTTGATAGAAGCCTGTTTGAGAGGGCT